CCCTTGGCCCCTCATCATCGAAGATGTTTTGTCCCATTTAAATTAAATCTTTACTCAGCGTTTTCACGGTTTCTAGGCATGCCACCACCCGGTCACCCTTGGCATTCGGTGAACTGAGGTACCGACTGCACCTATAGACCACGTTGTTGCCCAACACTCCAGCTCTATGAGCGACACCCTATAATTCATCAGGGTGATTCATATTATGTACATAGTGCAGTACTGGTCCGCAGCCTGGTAACCGTTCAGCAGACTTGAACATTACTCATTCAGCGCTCTCACCACATATTTGTGAATCGCTCCATAAACACTGTAGATCATGGACGGCGCAGTCACCCTGTCTCCGACCCATGGGAAAACTTAAGCTTCCGTACAGCATCATTCACTCCACCCTTGAATGGTTGACTTATTTGTCATCCTTTGTAATATGCCACTGCTGTCACCGGCATGCACTGCAGTTGGGATGAAAATAATCTGAATATATGTGCCCGATGTCACCTTCGAATGACTTCCCCGTGTTTACAAGAAACAGTTGCATATCGATCGGTTCATCCGACTATGTCTTGCACATTGGCGGTGTGAAACACATGTCGATGTTACTGCTCTTTGACCTCTTCAGAATAGTTCACCAAGAGCCTGCGTTAAGTTATCAAGAAGTGTATCTTCTACGCGAGTTGAGCTTGAAGTTGACCACCCTATCACAGTCGCACTTCACCATAAATAATCATTTCCTTTGAAAGGTGGCGGACCTGGCGCAGCGCACTTTCGGGATTAACCTAGCGGATAGTTTCCTACAAACCTGCATGCAACTTGGAAAGTTCAAATTCTTGACATGTTCCTCAGAAACAGGCAGTGGCACAGACATATGCGATCATCTGAATTGTAGGCGACTTCCAGTCACGCACGAAACTCGGATTGAGTTATCTCTGTTTGGCTCTGTCTGTCCTAGCTTAGTCTCTGGGGGGCATCCCCATTTCGTAGCCTTCAGCGGTCTCGAAATGGAAAATAGCTTCTGTGGCACTTGACTAGGGGATCAACTGACATGTTGTGAGCATGTCCTATACGCGACAGATGCAGACCTTATCTCAACTCACTACACTTTCTTATATGCCGGTAACTCGTCAGAATTGTGTATGTGAGTAGTTCGGTGGCATTGGTTATTACTCACCGTTCTCGGTGGATACTAAGGATAAGGGCGACTGTCAGCAGCTACTATCCTAAGACATTATTACGTGCCATATAGTACCAAAGGGAGTCAACGGACCTGACCCAATTTACTCGTCGAGCGCGGATTTCCATGGTTTATGACGTCTTTGGTGATTGACCCATTCCTATGTGTCCTCATCAGTTAATGTGGTGACTTTAATTTGAACATTTCCGATCAGTCTGTGCATTTCGTCTCGTATCGCATATTCAAAAACCACGAGGGGTGTTGAGCACCATCGCATCGAGTACTCTGGTTGATCTTGTTACTTTGTTCTAACTTGTCTACGGTCTCATCGGATCAACCTGTGTATGCATCCGCATCCATATGCGTTGCCACCGTCATCATGCGCCTGTTGATAACGTTGCTTGTGTCCGACCGATTCCTACAACCCATCTACTTTTCATAAGTGCGCTAATTCTCTATCTCCACTTTACACAATTGTGCCAAACTCTTGGTTGTGTATCGGCCACTCACCTAATGTCTGAGCGCTATTTTCCACGCAACTGCGTTTTATGCCCTACTCCTGCATCTCTTACGTTAACTAGTGATCGGTTTGGACTGGGACTGAGTACACTTGTGCGACTTGGGTTCGATTGAAGCTACACCAGTAACTCAGCACTTTCCTTGTTTACTACAGCCTTCATTGGAGCACTGTTCGTGGACAAAGACTTGGTGTGGGTGGAACGCTTCTGCCAAGTTTGCTTCTGGCCACGTCTGGTGGAATTCATACTTAAGCAGGAGTGGAATGATGCCAAATCGAAGTTGCAACAGTGCTGCTTAACATTCCGTTCACTGCACGAGGACCCGGAGATAGCACACTACAGAGTGAGTTTGTCATCTCAATATTCACCATCTGATTACAGATACTGTGCCATCAGAACCATGGCGAAATAAAAGAGGGAACCGAAGTACAACATACGAAAACAATTTTTTCGGTTTTATGCACGCTGTTTAGTGGATTTTTTGTTTTGGTGTTTTATGTTCGATGAGACTAACTAGTAAATAACGCGGTTGAACAGCACCGTCTCCACTGATGCCTGTTGCGCGCCATAGCCTCCAACGTTTCTAACCACTGGCAGGCCTAATCGCGTAGTCCTCATCCATCCTGGAAGGCGGACCGTTCCGACGGATACTTAGATTGGGGTTACCTTCTTCCCAATCACGGACAGCAATCCACCGGCGGGGATTTATTAATCACATTGGACATTGGATGTCCCCGAATGAAGCCCGTTTCATCTCGTATTATCCTTTGTGTAAATGGTTGTTAGAGGTTACTTTTGATGCAATTTCGCCATTGCACTGCAGTCTGGGAGTAGTATTTACATACACACTTCCTTCACGGACATTCTCCTACAAACGTTTTCATCCGTTGCAGACCAATTCTCACTATTTATCCGCATAGTTGCTTTCGCCGTAAATACCAGCATTCCACCTATATCTCTTTTTACACCAGAGATTCCATTTCGTACCGAATCTTTCACTCTTTGAACCTATCAACAGATTTACCGACAACGACGCTTTGTCTACCCATTCTCTAACACGTACACAGGAGGGCATCCTCTTGCTGCATTTATAACTCCATCACGGAAGTCGAATATCTCACCTCCACTTTTCAACCGGGCCATTAGTTCGAGGTGTTTGCAGTGCTGCAGCGGTTTTTTTCAACACCGACTGAAGACAGGCACGAGCGGATAACCACCAATTTCGCAACTAGACGTAAACAGTAGATTGTTGTCCTAGCTACGACTACTTTTCTCTGTCTCGGCGTACGTTACATCAGACGACGAACGATGCGCCACTAACTGCAGCTGTTACCTCACATCGAGACGAGTCCGTATGAGTCGACTGAGTCCGCCCAAATTGCCACAATCGCTATAACGTGTTTCGTCAAGTCCTACCCTAATAGCTGCCTCACCGACTGCACACGGGACACTCAGCGTACCACTGTGCATTACAGATGTCCAGTAGGCCATGCTGCCATCGAGTTCACTTTTTATTTCAAAAGTATGAGCCAACCCAATCATGTTTACACATCGTCACATACTTATGTGTAGCCTGAGTGACTGACTGTAGCGACGACTGTATAGCGTATTTCTGCCTCGACATATACCACGAGACAACACGGTTGATCGCACTCAGAACTGATTTGCTACTGAACGAGAGACGGCCACAGCACGATTGTATAGTGTGCTCAACAACTGTTGTGCATTACTGAATCCTTTGACTACCTTATCTCCATTGTCATGTTAGAAATTGTCTCACTGAAGTTTTGCTGCTACAATTTCGACCATGACTGGAATTTCATATCATTTTTCAACGCGGTTGGACTCCATCTTCCACTACACATAGGCTAGCAACCCATTCTCGTGACCGAACGTGGGCTACGCATTCGTTACACTGGGTCATGGGACTCGCCGTCGAAACTGAAGTAGCGCGCTGCGGCTACTGAGGCCATTTAGAGACTTGTTTGGACACTAAACTACCATTTGCCGCGTTTCGCTGACTGTTAGTTGGCGTGTCCTGAGTAGCCGCAGCGCGCTCCCCCTGCCATTTGGGTTTCTTTTTGGACACCGTAGTATGTCTACGTTTAGGACAGACAACTGTAACATATTATCCATCCTTAACGATTCATCCAACTAAGCGTCCGAACTGGTGTTATTGAGAATGACGTGGCTCAGAATGTGGAAGAAAGAGATGTTTTATTCACTCAGATCTGACAGTGACCCACAAGGCTTTGCGAATCAGACATTAGAAGCAGCACCGATGATGTTACCTAGCTCGACAACGAAACCTATGCAACTAAAATGCCAAGTTCGGAGAACAATATAACCCTCTCGCCTAAATGGATAATTTCAGTCTGTCTTACTGATTGAGTTGTAGCGCAGAGGAGGAAGATCCAAACCGCTCTGATTGTCGCTAATGTTGTTGTGGGGCTAGGCGATTGTTCTAACCACATGAATAAATATACTCATGATCCATAAAAGTGAGCATTTACGTTTTAATTGTCACCTACTAATTGGTCTTATGTTGTGTTTGCGAGAACTTTTTCGGTTAAAGTTACTTGAAAAATATCGTCGCTCGGTCCGAACCACAACATACACAATTCTTTCAATCAAAACAATGATTGTGTTGATTTCCTTGAATTCACTTTTCTACATTCTCCTTTTCCATTTTTCCCCACCCTAATCAATACAGGTCTTGAGCTATAGCGGTCCAACCAACCAACGAACCTACTCGGTTGGGGTGTTCTTCCGCGGTCAGCGTTTGGCCACCGGCACAGGTCGGTCAGTACAACAGGCACAGATGGAAGCAGCCAAACGTGCTTTGGAGATACACCAAGGTAACGTCTCCCCCACTTCACACCTCCCTATGGATTCGCGTTTGTCCGAGCTTCGCCGAAGTGGAAGTATAAGAGTACATCTGGCGATCTAAATCATGTCTACCGTATGATATGTGGTCCGGCTAACTTCCGGTTGGCCAGGAGGACTAGTTCCTCTAATTACCGGAGTTTTGTTTTTCGAATCTGTGTATTTCATTAACGCATTGTGTGTATCGTCTACCTTCCTCAAGCCTTTCTATCACGAAGCATGGGTTCTCGAAACTACACCACTGTCGTTCGGTTAACGGATATCCGTACACATGGTTTCCAGGCGGCTACGCCATTCATCCATTCAGCGGTGGGAATATGTGCAATCAAGCTAGCGTTCAGTAACATTATGGACATCGTCTTCTCTAAAAGTACCCATCTGTTCTCCCTAAACTTGGTTTTAAAATGCCGGATTCTGCAGAGCACAGTCTTTTTCTTGGTAACGCGCCATATCTTTCACAATGCAAGTCATTTGCACAATTGGTTGATGGTGACCTATTTTTCCGTTCCGCAAAATCTTGAACCTATCTCCATATCTGACATACTACTTTTCTCTTGTCAGACGCGTTCCGCCAGCTCGATTTTCAACGCTCCGTCATTTCCAGGCGCTACCGACAGCCGTACATCGACAAGATGTTGGATCATGTGCAGAAATGGGATGAGCGTTTGGTGGACTACTTCATTGAGGGCAATAATAGCGGTCCTGAACCCTCTTCTTCCAGTCGACCAGCAATTAAACGCGACACAGCAATGTCCGACGGGACCGATGACGTTATGGACTTGTTCAAGCCAAACCAACCCAATCGGCCTCCACCGTTAAAACAGACGAGCCCGTCATCTAATACTTCCGGAGCCGCTCTTAAACCGCAACACAAACGTGCCCGCAATCACGATGAAATCTCTTCGACTGAGTTCTTTCACCCAGGTGAGCTGCAATGTGATTTGAATCCCAAGGAGGCCACGCACCTAAAAGCCGAGGTTCCTGCGGAGTTGAGTGAGGATGATGCCATGGAGGTGGACTCTGATTCCGGATCCTCATCTTCCATACAAACTGATGGCGCATGTGTTTTGCCAAGTGGAACTCTCGCAGATTTGCTCAGAGCCAGAAGATGACTTCATTTTCTTTGTTCTCATCACATCTTCATACTGGCATTTAGCCGAAAAATGATGCATTTTATGGTACTTTCTGAACTGGCCATTTTAATGCTTAGGCCAACACACCGTCCCATGTGCTTTTTGCTGAATGAAGGGTTGCTCAATACTATCCGATTGATCCAAGGCCTCGTTGTTTTTCATTGTCGAAGTTTTAAGGATTCTTGCTATATCTACCAGTTTTCTCTGTATATTTATAGCAATACTGGATTGGCGCACGCTTCCTATGGCTGTCCCCGTGAAGGCCGCAGTGACAAGCAAATCCGGAACCGGATGCTCCCAACCATGATTGGCGTCATCCGTTCCATGAACTGTTTGTAGCTGTGACTGCGACCAGCTACAGCATACCTGCGCCTATAGAGGGACCATAACTGGATTGCTCTGCACCACCCACAGTGTAAAACCGAATGAATAAGACCATCCACATAAAATTGGGGGAAGCTTGCGTATTAAACGTGCACATGACGGTGGGTCGTAGTCCGTTGCTCACTAGATGGAACTATTTTATCCTAGCATTGCTCGGAAGGTTGCGCACCCCGTCTGTTCCAGCAATGATTAGCAGTCTTATGAAGCCTGTAATTAACGTGGCGATACTCAAACGGTAGGCACCTTGTCAACATCCACATCAAGCGCAACCAGACCTGGGATATTAGTCTACGAATGCCATAATATAACAAACTGGTCGTTATTATGGTCCTAATCGGTACGAACGATAAGGTTGGCACGAACAATACAGACTCCGCAAACTTTGTATCCCGAATCAGACGGAACGCATTTGTCGGTACACGCGAATAAGTTTAGATGTACCGTTTTTGTTGCGGACTAACCTGCAGCGTTTTGGTCCTTCTGTGAATGCATTCTTTGCACGATAGCCAGCTGATTGTGATGGTATGTTGTTGACAAGGTGTAGGTGCCTCGACGCCGAGCGTTTGTTTAGAGCATTAAGGTTTTACCGTATGTCCCCGTTCTATCCCTCTTATTTTTCTTCGTTCCGTAAGTCACCGTGGTTGTACGGTAGCGTGGCATCAGTTCAAGTGGCTGATGTACTGCTGTTGATGATAATGATGATGGATACGTCCCGTTTGGCGGTGATGACAGACATCGTCTGGCGTTAGCTGTACAGCTTTCGGTTGTCGCGCTGTGATTCCAAACCTATCCAGTAACATATGCAACGGCGATTCCGTAGGCGACTGAGCTTGGACCACTCCGCTTCACAGTCGAAACACGTTTTATTGGCGAACCTGTATGTGGTCTCCCATCATGCAACATACTACTGTGGTGACCCGTCACTGTGGATTCGACCTAGTGTGAGTGATCAGCCCGGTAGTCAAGAGAGAAAATGGGTTTCAACGTGGAAACCATTGCGACTGGCAAAGGCCTTACATTCCACTGGCGATACTTCGGTTGTGACTAACGATTCGTGTGTGGTACCCCACATCTGGTACATCAATGCTGCTGCGAGTGATTGGTCTCCTGGAGACGCTGGACTCGGTGTCGTTCTGTAGGCGAACAAGCAAACCTGGATACTCGCCTCTATTGCCCTATGTCCACACCGTTCCAGGAGCGTCCTTGTGAAGATGTCAACGAAACGCTTGACTGGACTGGGCGTGGTAGGACGGTGATCGGAGGTGTTGGGTGCAGTAGCGTTAGCAGAACTTTTCCAATTGCGACGACGTGAACTGAGACCCGTCATCGGACACCAGGATATCAAGAAATTCGTGTTGGTTGAAAGTTCGCTAGAGACAAGCTATTGTTGCCGTTGTGGTCGGGGATTGATGGCTACAGCCTCAGGCCACTTGGAGAAGGCGTCCACTAAGGTCAGATAGCAGATGCCGTTGAATGGACCGGCGTACTCGATTTGACCACGAGACTATAGCTTCTTCGCTGGTTGCCAGGGTACTAGTGTCTAGCGCAGCGTGTCTGATGATGAGGCAAGATGAAGCGTCAGTTTGACCAAAATCCAGAGCGCGGCAGAATCAAATTTCGAAATAGTAACCAAGAAGCATGACGGCCCATCCTTGGAGTCGGGTAGCTGAATATGCTAGCATTCCTCTTCGAACCAAAGATTAACAACAACGGCTTGTGGTCAGTCAATAATTTGAAGTGCCGACCATACAGCATCTCGTAGAACTCTTTAACAACAAGGGCAAAAGTCAGAGTCTCCTCGATCTAACCGTACCTCTTCCCCGCGGACCTCAACGTTCTTGATGCGTGAATGGCGGCTTTTTCGGAACTATCTGGGAGTCAGTGGGAGAGAACGACCCCGATACCGTAGTTTGAGGTATCAGCGACGGCCACACATGGTAAGATCGAATCGTAGTATGCCAATAGTAGATCAGAACTCAGCATAGATTTCAGACTACGAATGACTTCTCGCATGCGGGAGACCAGTGCCAAAGAACGTCTTTTTAAAGCAGTCGATCGAGCGGGGCTCGGTATCATTTTGCGAAGGTACTATAGTAGCCGATGAGGCCAACGAAGGATAGCAGCTGGTGGATATTTTTTGGAGACAGCATTCGTTGAATCTCTAGGACGTTTTCGGAGTCAAGACTACGGTCATTAGCATAGAAGACAAACCCGAGGTACTTGATCAACCGAAGGAAAAGACGACATTATTCAGCTTTCAGGAGGAAGCCATACTCCAGGGTACGTTCATCAGTAGAAAACCGGCGCTCACGTAGTCCTTCTTGGGCGCGACCATTGAATATCAGATTGTCCAGATACGCGGCCGTACTTGGAATACCAGATATCATCGCAGGGCTCGTTTGCTGGAACAGAACTGAAGCGGTCTTGACGCTAAACAGTAGCCTGGTGTACTGAAGAAGACCCATGTGTGTGTTGTTTATCAGGAGCGGTTGCGACTCTGGAGCAACTTCTGTCTGCAGGTAGGCATCTGCCCCGTCGATCTTGATGAAGCACGTGCCACTCTTAAGTATTGTGAAGAGGTCAGTTGAAACTGGTAACGGATAGCAGTTCGGCTCCAGAGCAGCATTGAGGCCAGTATAGAAATCAGCACAAATGTGAAGAGATCCATTCGGTTTCCTGACGATAACAATCGAGGCTGTCCGGGCAAAGTAGGACATTTGTGTCTTCCAACCGTTCAGCATCGCCCAACGGTAAAGCTGCGTACGGGGCAGTCCTTTTGGGACAGAGTACCGGTTGAGGTCCGAGTGCAAGCTGTGCCACGATGCGAGTACGTATACAGCGGCCAAGACCATCCTGGAACACGGGCGAACTGTCTGATGATGTCGTCAGTTGATACTGCCGGAGAATGCACGGCGCTGCAGATGGCCTGAAAAGGTAGATCGGTCAAACAATGGTTTTCGAGCGAATCGAAACCAAATAGATTGAGCTTTGTCTTTGTGATATCAAAGGTGATACCTCGACAGGAGATTGGGCGACACAACTGTCCAGTTAGCTGCACGGGACCACCACACGCACTGTTGGCAGGCTGAAGGGTTGACTCGAATAGTGGTTTGCCAGTGGATGACCAGCGATTCTCTGAGATAAACGTGATGTCCGAAGCAGTGTCCAGCTGCAATCAAACTGGTTGACCGTTGATCATAACGCTGACGAATTTCCTGCGATCCATCGCGTTGACTTGGAAAGTGGCCAGCAGGCTCATGGAGCTGCAACCCGACCAGTTTTTGGTTTGCGTCTGGATCGGGACCTCTTCTTTGGATCGCGGTTGCAGGCCAGTCCAGGTTTGCCTCCTTGGGTGGTGTAGGGTTGCAGTAACCATCACGGGTGCCCTACCTTGCTACGTCGCTGCCATTAGTGCCAGAGGAAGTTGTAGTCTCGGTGGAAATGCCAGACACCACAGAATCGGCACGCATAGGGTGGGGACATAGTTCTGCTGGGTCAGGTAGGCCGCCCAGAAGATCGCGGCTTGAGTACTGCGACTGTCCGTGCCAGACCAGGTGCGCAGGCGTTCTGAACCGTCGCAGAGTCGTGTTTCAGATTCAACAGCATTTGACACTTTTCCGTCAACTTCTGAAATGTGACAATGCTGTGGTTTTGTAGCCTGGACAGAAGGCTAGTCGGAATATCGCTACCTTGTGAGGGCCAGAGATGAAAACCAGACATTTGAACTGATTCTCCGTGAGCGATCCAAGTTGGGAACGCTCACATTCACGGTTGACGATGCCTGTGTGCGAGACAAATTTCTCGGCATCACGATCGATCAACTGGAGGCATTGAAAACGGGTGTTGAACAGCGAGGGTTGTTCGTCGAAAATCTGCGACGACGTCCTGATCGCCTCACCAAAAACAATTTTGATGTAAGAAGCGCATGTCCTATAGACAGACAATCAGTCGTGTTTAGCCTGACTGAGGCGACGAAGCACATCATTTGCTTCATCAATTTTGACAAATACACAATGATAGTGAAAACGCTGTATAATCACGTTTACCAACGCATTTGTCCACACTTGTGTATGAACTACCACAATTTGAATGGTAAGACAAGTATCCTCACGGACAATAGTGATATTAGCGTGTGTGGTTTGAGATTGGAGGTAAGCACGACAGCCATATTCGTCAAGTTATGAACTCGCACGTGCATTAGTACATACTCAATTGGAGGCGACCGGGTGACAAACTTGAACGGTACCTGTTTTTCGCATGGCTCATCAACCGGCGTTTCTTATAACCCCCTGCCCGCGGTGTAATTTGACTTGGTCTGCCCGTCGCGACGCATAGAGTACTCAGTGGAGAACCGTTGTATTGCTGCATAATTGTCCGCCGTGCAGATCTAGCATAACACTGGGATGGACTAATGACTGCGATGCTAGGCATGAGTACGAGATCGCAGTAGCATGCGCGATATGCGGTAGAGACACAGTACTGAGCAAAGCAAAGTTAGCAGCTTAACCTGCTGGACTAGGGTAATACTAAGACGGAGTAGCCCAACCGCGGTGAGGATACACGGTGTATGCAATGCCATCTTCGGCATGAGGCAC